AATTAATATTATGTTCCGGTAAGTCTGCAATCGCTAAGGCAATATCTGAACCTGAAGATTATCTTCTTTCATCTAGCTCCGCGTTCATTATCTGGGAAAGAATTCATCCGAGCACTTTTCGAAGCAGCCATTATGATCATTTCGAGTCAGCATTGGCTCGGAGAGAGTTATAAACAACTCAAGCCTTTCAGAAATGGAAGCAAACATTTGGGAATAACTAACAAATCATTCAAATCAAAGATGCATGACAAAGCAAACTTAATTCATATTAAGCAACATCAAGCACAAGCGAAACATGAATAATTAATCATTATTAAAAGGGTAAATTACACCAAATACCACTGAATTTTTAGACGTGTATCGTTTATATCATTGAACATTTAGTTTCTTCTTTTGTGGCAAGATCAATACCAAAATGTTTGTATTTCACTCATATTTCTTCTACTATGATTGGTTTTCCACGAAACTTACTCAAAATCGATAACAATTCATTTAAAAGTTCAACATGCTATTACTCTAATCTCTTCCGTTGATTGTCCGATGAGACTAGTTTTGAAGTATGTTATTCGTCTTCTCAAAATAACGATTTTCACCATTCAATTTTTGTTAACAAACACGCCAACTCCTTCAAATCTATTAAAATCTCAAAATTTTAAAAATTATACATTTTTTTGTTTAGTTTCGATGATTATGAATAGATTTTATGAAAAATCATTCACATAATAAGAAAAACAAGTGAAACACAAACGTTTCGGTATCTATATCGCACCTGTTATGGGTTGTACTAGTTGTCAACAACGACCGAACAAATACAATACTAAAAGTAATACTCCAATATTTAAAAGTTAAGTGAAAAATAGATATTTCAGCGTCTAAACATCAATGGTGGTTGCCAAATTGATTTAATAAAAACAACACATTAAACAAAATATTATTGATTGGAATACTCCAAAAATTGATTTAGTTGGATGGCGGGGTTATGATGTCAGCCAAATATTGTGACTTTTTAATTAATTAAATTATTGGTAGTACTACTCTTTTTCTTTTGCAATGTTTTAAAATTATAATTATATGTCACTAAATATTAAAAAATAAGTTGATTTTTGTAATTAATAAACAAAAATAAAATTATTTCTAATATAAATGCTAAATAGATATTTAAAACATCAAATTTTAAAATTCACAATTTTGAATTATTTCTTTCTAAAATTATCTTATTTTTCCACTCTCACCGACTTTCTTGAATAAATAAATAATGGGATTTTGATCAAGTTTTTACTTATGTTTTTTTAGTCTTTTATTCAAATTGTAACTTAAATATTAATAGGAGGACAGTTTGACATGCTTTTATGCATACTTTGAGATTTTTTTTATACAATAAAGTTTTCATACGGAGATAAAACAAAGATCAAATTTGTTGAGAGTTTTTTTTATTCTTTTAAAAAAAATATAAAGTATTATTTATAATTATTCGATTGAACCTTCAGTATCTAATATTACTATCTTCTTAAGACGTTTGTGTTTCATTTTAATTTCTTTTTTTTATCTTTTAAATTTATAAAGAGAATAAGAGTGTCTCTTTGATATAAGGCGGTTTGTATTGGGATCGAATCTACATCTTAAAACATTCAAGTTATTTTATAGAAAATATGATGCCAATTGAACTCCATTTGTTCCATCTCCCCCATCAGATGATCTATAAGTTTAAGGTCATGGGGTTGAGCCTCATGCATTAATGTTCACATATTCTAGTTGTTCTTGGTACGTTCGCGTGAATCTATTGTGGTTCTCGGTATAATCATGTAAATCATCCTTTATCGAAAAATATTATTGTACCATCTTAAGAGATAATAATATGTTTTCAAATTCTTTTTGGAGTCAGAAACTTCCTCAACTGAGTTTAATTTTCGTTAAATTCTTAAATTTGTTTCTGTTTTGGCAGTGAAGCTTGAGTAAATTAAGAAAGCTCATTTCATTAAGTTTGTAATTATGGAAGAATCAAATCCAAATTAGGTAAAGTGGTTTTTTTGGTTAAAAATGTTTGATTACTTGAATAAAGTTGTCAGGGTATATATTAATTTAATATATAATATCTATCCTTTAATAATATTTAACAGCTGCTAATGGTGTAATGCTTATTTTGTAATAAAATAAAAATTAATATCTATTAACTTTTAAAATTCAGTGTCCAAGAATCCATTTAGTGTAGAAATTAAAGGGAATATTATTTTCACTTGAGGTCCTCGTTACATGTATTGTTAATGACTAAAAAAAATTATGAACAAATATTATATTATAACCATTTAGACTATTAAAAAAATCAGTGTTAAAAATATTATTTTAATACAATTTAATAATTATTTGTATACTCTATTTTAAATTTTATTGAGAAACTTCCTTAATTATGCTTTACACAGAAGTGTGTTTGACAGAGTGCTGTTCTGATAGGAAAAAAAAATCATTCAAGCGTTGTTATTCACAACAAAGGACCAACCGAGTAAGCTTGCAAAATCAATAGTGCATATCTTTGATCATTAAATCATTGTGTGTCTTAAGTAGAATTATAAATAAAAAGGGAGCAGGATCTGCAACTTTTTTTTTGGGTGAATAAACCAAGTGAACTAAAAGACAACTATAATAAGAAGAAGACATTGAGGAAATAGGATTGGGTTTGTCACGCCTGCAGGCAGTTTTATCCCATTTACCCATTGCAATATGTTTTTTTTAATGATGATATGACATTATCTTATAATATCACATTATCATCACAGTTAATTTTTTAACAGTGAATTAAAATAAAATTAAAACGTAACGTTGTTAAGTATGATTTAAAAAAAAATTAAGTGATCAAAATAGAACCTCATAAATAGTTAAAGGACTAGATATCCTATAATTTAACCTAGTTTTAATTGGTCATAGGTTGAATAAAAAGCAATATGTTAAGTTGTTTTCTCAGGTGCACTCAAGACATGAACGTGCTGAGTCAAAAGACAGCAACTACTCATTAGTCATGATGGCAGCATATGTAACCTTCTTCACATAAATTAACAACTAATTCGTTTCTCATTTACCAAAGAGATAGAAAATTTTCATACTTTATCATTGCATGCTCCTGCCCTACTTTTTATGAACCAAATAATTATAAATAATGATACCCACCAAGCAATGTGCCCTTATAAATCACCAAGGAGGCCATATCTTAACTTTCTCCAAAACTAGTGAAAATTAATCCAGCTTGTGAAAATGGTGAATAAAGAGTTCAAAAAACCCAGTTTTTTGCTGCTTTTTGCAGTACTCATGCTTCTCCTGACTAGTAGTTCTCGGCGCTTGGCAGAAGCTACCGGCAGGCTTAGTTCACCGGCAAAAACAAGAACAAGAGAGCTTTTAGAGATGGAGCATGATTACCCGGGAGATGTCCCCAGCATCCCAAGTGATTATGACTACAATGATTTCTATAGAAGGCAAGGTGATGTTCCAAGCCCAGGAATTGGCCACTAAATATATATACATCGCCGTGCATGCATCACTCTTTATCTGGTTGCTGTTTTCTCTTTGAATCTTCCTAAAATGATTTTGGTTTTTCCCTTAATTGTTTTCCAGATTTTCTCTTCTAATCCATCGATACATATAAAGTATTAGCATGTTAAAAACTGAAGTGATATATATATGTATAGAGACGATATATGTTTTATATAGAAATGAATACATTTATGTAGTTCGAGGTGAAGGGTGGGTTTGATTTATTTGTGCATTTCTTATGGGAAGTGATGTGTTTTTGCAAACAGAATTAGTCTATAATCATCTGCCTGATTCAAATTCCAATCAACTTCGAGGCAAGCATGAAATGGATTCTCCACCCAGTTAAGCACCTGGGCACTCAGGGTTATTAGTTACTCTAAAACAACATTTAATTAATTAGGATGTTAAATATTTTTTATTGGGTCTTCAGACATCTAATTTTATGACATGACTAATGAAAAATATATATGCAATTTATTATCTTACAATAAATCTATTTAATCGGTCAACTTATAAATACTCATCATAATATTACGTTTGACATCAATAATATATCACTATAAAATCTTCTATACAATAATGATACAAAATCAAAAAGAGGACTAACATCCCCATCTTATTCTGAAACTCCTTTTCTAATGGTATCTCATAAATCAGATGACATTAATCATATATAAATTTATCAGATTTTATAATCGTCGCAATCCAATATTATTGTTAACTATTTTTAATCTTATAAGAATAATTTAAAAATAAATATGAAAATTTATTGAAGTTACAATTTTTTCAATATTTTACTAATAATTTCTTAATTTAATTTGTTTACAATATTAAAAGTTTTTCCCACAATATATGACATAATAATCCTATAATCAATAGCGGTTGGATATATGTTAATATTAATGTGAATTGAGTTTAAACATACAAGACTTTTTTTTTTTATTTTAAAATTTATTTATTTTATCCATGTTCATTAAAATATTTAAGATTATATTCATATTTATTTATTTATTTAAAATTTATTTATTTATATTTATTCATTTAATTTTATAGATAATAAATAAACATGTACTCGATATTATATAAATATATTCATATGTATATATGTATATAATTAAAATTATTTATAAATTATAAATAAACATAAATATTTTTTAGATATTAATAATTATGTTATAAATAAATAAATAGACACAAAAACAATGCTCCAATCCAAGGTTCACGCCTGATCACGATCAGTAGGGCATTAGACTTCACTAGGTTTACGCCTGATTACGATCAGTAAGGGCATTAGACTTCACTTGAAATTGAATCTCCGTAGGCCATTTACCACTTCGGCCTGTCTTTCGGCCCATTTTGCTTCTTCGTTTCTTCAAGATCCTGGGCCAAACTCCACCTATATTTGGGCTTTTTCCGTGTTCTCTAGGACTCTTATCACTGCCAAAATGGCGGGAAGAACTGGCGGGAAATCCCACCCACCTCGTACCTTTTAACGCGGGAAGCTAAGTAGCGTCAAGCAAATCGATCAATCAGAGAGAAAGAGTGAGAAATGGGCGGTCCACCGTACGATTGCATGTCGAACCCACTGGGTGCCGTCCGATTGACATTTGAGAAGGCGATAGGGTTAGGATCAGAGACCCTGACCCATCCCTCCGCCTTCGACGGCAAGGATTGGGGTGCCCTTGAACTCTTCCGCCACTTCCTCTTCCAGGAATCGGGTCTCTCCCAGGTTCCCATTCTTAATCCCAAGACGCTGAGATGGGTTCAGCACAACTGTCTTGTCCGTTACCGTGGCATGATCCAGGACATGTTGGGAAATGAATTCTATGTTGGTGCTTACAGGGAGGTAAGTTTCTTTTCCACTCTAAAAGTTTACTCCCTTCTTTCTTTCATTTTTTCAAAGAATCTGAATTCTGGGTTTTATGTTTCTCTTTTCTGTTGCCAAATAAAGGAAGGGTGTTCATGGCGGACCAACAAGTTCACGGATGTTTCTCAATACGCAATGGAGTCCCCTTCTGATACGTGTATTTGGGAGCGTCGCTTGCTCTATTGTGTTCCTGTAAGTTCTCGTTTACTTGTATTTTAAGGATGGTTGTCAATTTTCTCATTATTCATTGGTTGTGATTCTATTGATTTCTTCAGGTTCCGGGACAGAGTTCATGGACTGTACTTTCTTGCGACATGGATCCTAAGTGGTCATCCCAAAGCAGGGAGAAGCGCCGTAGGATGAATGATGAAGACGAGGTCCCAATGGATTTGGTTGGTTTTGTTCAACTTACCATTTATCAATTCATTTCATTGTGTCCCATTCTCCCACTATATGGCCTAAACGTATAACACAATCATAAAAACAGGCTAATCTCTATACAATGGTTTTTTTCTTCTTCTGACAATGAGAACAATTTGTGTTTGTTTTTCCCCCTAAACTAGTTAGGATTTTGTTTAAGGTCTTGCTTTGGCGAACCACTTAATTGTTCTCTAGTGGAGGGTATGGTAATTGGTATGGTGAAGTACAGTCACTTGGTTTGCACATTTAAAACTCCTCAAGATCAATGCCTTATTATCTGGTTCCTTTAGTGCTGGGTTATGATGTATTTATGGTTTACCTTATTAAACTTGAATTCTATATCTTTTTCAGGCTCCTGAGGATGAGGTTAAAAGATCTCCAATTACCAAGAAGATGGTAAGAAGCCCCAACTCAAATTTTTAGTTTCATTATTATCAACATCCAAGAAATATTTTAGCCATTATAAGTGAAGACTTTGGAGATGTTATTTAGTTTTGCTTGATCAGCTGAGCTTAAAGATTCTGCTTTCAACTGTATGTGTTGGTACCATATTCAGTGTACGCTATTACTTGCTATGAATGCTCATGAAGTCCATATGTTCTCACTCGAGCCAAATTCTGATTTGCGTTGCCTGAGGTTACAAGTGCTTTGGTATTATATGTTGGATTTTGCTTAACGTTCCTTTTCTTAAATTTACCTTTACATGCTACTTCAGGAATTGAGATTGAGATCATTATCTTTTTTTCCATTAATTTATGATACATAGGTAATCACCATTCGTGTGTAGGACTAATGAATTCTTGAGACATTAAGTCATACTTGTGTTGATTAAACTTGTACGGTATGGTATTGGATATGGAGGGGGGCTCAACCCCTAATTAGGTGGTCCTAATCAGGTTTTTTTTTGCTAGAGAGAAAATGAACCTCCTGCTTCATCAGAACCTATGGATCTTAAAACCGCAAGCATGAGTACAATTCAATTTGTTGACAAAGATAACCTTCCTTGTCTGGTAAAGGTAAATGATTTCATGTACATCCAGATATATTAAAATAGTTTATAGATAGTGGTTTTATTCTTCTCTTTTCAACCAAGCTTGATTATTTTCTATTTTTAAAATGCAGATATATGATTCTCCTGAGTCAGACTTGAAGCTGAATGATGTTTTTGAGTTTATTGGTGTCCTCACTTTCTATTCAGAGCTTGCAGTTGAGAAAGATGAAAATGATGAGTTATCAAATATTTTATATGATGACGCACGGGTCCATTTGCCCCCTAATAAGGTATCCTCCCAGCTGTGAAACACTGTGGCTTCATTGTCATCAGAGTTTGTTTTAGGCCCGCTAATTCTTTAATAGTGGGTTATTGGGTTACTAAAGTTTCTTTGTAACGAAAATGTAGTTTTTGAGATTAAATTATTGAAGAAAATGCCCTGTGAATACTTCAGTCTATGTGTTTTACCACACTTATTAGTTATTATGGTAAGGATTTTGTAGCCCGACACGCAGTATTCATGTACAAGTTGATGATGCACGTTGTTATTAGCTCTACAAGTGTCTTGCTGTATCATTGTGTTGTCCTGTTGCAGGTCCCACGCCTGCACTGTCTTGTACATAGGAAGCTTGCAGTGCATGACTTTCTGCTGGGCTCCCCAATAATGGAGGTATAGTACATGAAATTTATGAATTGCTGCATTTTTTTGCCTTATGCCGACTAGTTTTCTATTCCATTATCTAGTGAGGTTACCTTATCTTTTTTTTCTTGACTTTTTAATCTTCATCTTTCAGCCAAAGCCACATTTGGTGAAAGAGATAAGGGAAGCTTTGTTCAGGCATCTTACGGTTGTTCTTGGCAATGATGGGGTAGCTGCTCATTTCATGTTGTTGCATCTTCTGTCCAAGGTAATGTGGAAGGCTTCCTTTCAACTTCCATCTTAGACTGTGGGAAACTGATCATATTGGGGACAGGTTCACACTCGAGTAGATGATGTTGCTGTTGGGAAGCTGTCACTAAATTTAACTGGTTTAAGCAAAGAAAGTGTATCTGTGTTTGGCACTCGACTTAGCCAAGCTTTCAAAAACCTGCTACCATTCACGAATTGCATGCCTCTCACACTGGAATATCTGAACACTGCCTCTCTTGCCCCGAAAAAGGATTATCAAACAAACAGGTATCCTTAATCATATACCTGTACTAAGGGAAGGTTAATATTCCTGCAATCAATAAGAAAGCAGGTACCTACCAATCATTTTTCTTAATAACTTCACATTGTAATGTATTGCAGATTGATTCCAGGAGTTCTTCAATTACCTGAGGGATCACACTTGATGGTTGATGAAACCCAACTAGAATCGGGAAGCCTCAACTCTATTGGAATTGATAATGTAAAGTTGCTGAAAAATCTAATAGAGTTTCAAAAAGTAAGCTGTCACTTTGTTTAAACATGTGTGCATGTTTCTGCACTGATAGTCCTTGTCTTTATTCTGTATATTTTGTCTTTATTCTGTATAATGCAACAAGTTCAACATTGAATATACTTTGTTTCAGGTGGAATATGACTTTCAGTACTACAAAGTGGAAATGGCAGCGGATGTCCAGTTACTTATCTTCTCAGAGGGGAAATCTAATATTGTTCCTGCTGATCTAATTGTACCTTTTCAGCCTTCTTCTCTTGAATCCTCCGAAATACCAGTTGGAGAGGCACTGGAAGCTTGGAGATGGTACCTAGCTACTGTTAGATCATTACCGCATTCCATTGGATCTGAGATGCAGAAGGTACGAATTAAATTGATTTATGCATCTCTCGGTGATTCTGATTTGATCACTATTAATATCTTAGTTAATGGTATGCTTATGTTGAACATTTGATCTCTGTGGATGAATTAGATGGACTATATTCAGTTTGTGGCTAGGTTTTTTTTCTAGCATTGCTTATATTGTTGCTCAAGATCATTTTCTCTTTCCATTTTATATACGGAAGGGAGGTCTCGGGGTGTTTAAAAGTTAGGTTTACTCGCATCACAGGTGGTAGAAGATGACTTGGTTGCTGCAAGACAAGCAGATCGGAGCTTAGGCAGTCGAGATTTTAGCAGGTTAGAAACAGAGCTTTGCATTATAATTCCACTCTCATTTAGATGTTGGATGCAATAAAATAAAAAAATGAATGATGTGTAGATGGTTGACGATGGCCCGCCTCATATCCTCAAGTTTGGGAGAAACCAGCCTGACATTGGAACATTGGCAAATGGTAAAAGAAATGGAGAGGCTAAGGAAGGAGAGGCTCAAGTAGATCAGATGCTTGATATTGGCAATGATGTTTCTTCTTTTTCTTTCCCCCAAGGCCATGAAAAGGCCTATGATGTTTCAAAACCAATGTTTGTCATGTATGATTGTTACTCTACCCTGCTCTCTAACGTATTCTCATGTCTAATTCCTGGCTTTGTTGTTGAGATTGGATCAAATGCTTATTAAAGTCAATATAAATTTAGGTTTTTTTTTATTATAATTATATTAAATCTGTCGACTGCCAGCTTAAGCTTTAGTTAATTAGTATTCATCGTTTAAGTGGTGGTTCAAATCAACATCCACCTATGGATATGGAACAATGCTTGGATTATTTGTATATGGATTAAATTATAAATAAAATATATATAATAAGATTTGTTTAATATTTTAAAAATTGTAGATTTTAAATTCATTTCGAAATAATAATAATTTTAGACTTAAAATTTTGAAAAAAATGGTAAAGAAAGGATATTCACCTTGAAATTGCTTCAACGGCCGTTAACTTTATGTAATTACACATCATCATATTACATGGAATAAGAAAGTCATTTACAGTTCACACTCATCACTATCATCAAATTCAAAGTCATTCTCAAACTTCATAGGCTTAATCCCAAATTCCAATTCGAAATTTGGACAACTCATTTCTGCGCATGCTGGATACACGTTACACACCATCTCACCAGGCTCCGAGCAGTACTCAAACCCATCACCCATCAAATCCTTCCACATCATACAATCCAACTCCGTAACATCAGTCGACGTCTCTTCCTTTGTTTCCTGCCTTATTGCTACACTCTTCGGAGTCGGATCAGATCGCTGATCGTGGTGTTTGATCAGAATTTCCGAGTCACCGTTATCGACGGTGCCAGTTTCCCAACTTTCAGAATTTGTGATGATTAGGGGAGGAGCATTGAATGCGTGGTTGGTGCAGGTGTGGGTACCGATGTAAGTGGTCCGATACATTTGGGAACCGTCTTCCATTCTTTGGACTTGTTTGATAGCTCCACAGCCTTGATCGTACTTGCGAGTGCATCTGAAGTAACTCCTGCTTAATTGGACCACATGGTTAGTTCCAATGTGCTTGTCTTGATTAAGAAATGTTCACATGATACATTGATTTAAAGGAAATAAAGATCCTATATTATGAACAAGTGAAGAAATAGAGAAACAAAAGTGAATTACCTTGGGTGTTTAGAACTGAGGATCTCTTTTTGTCCATATTTCCTCCAAGCATGACCATCTTCCATTGTAGCAGAAACAACCGTCCATGCATCTGCACTCCTCCTGCAATAAAAAACACATCCAATTACTATTACAGTCCATGAATGAAACAATCGAAGCTATGCATAAACAAAAGAAACAGAATTTCTCTTTACTTTCTCTTGTAACATCCTCTCTTGCCCTTAGTGGCAGGTGGTCTGCTGCTGCTGTTGATAGAAGAATCTTCATTAGAAGCTGTATGGGACAGAGAAACCTCAGCAGATTCAACAGAACTCAGCACAGCAAGTGCTTGGTCGAAAGATCTCAAGATCTTGTCGATAAGTGCCGATGAGAGATGGGCAGTTCCTTGAGAGGATGAGGGGTTGCGGAAAAGAATCTGAAGCTGGTTGGCATACTCTTGGCCTTCCACAAGTTCTTCTATTGCCCTTTCAGGCCTGGCTGAAACACTGCCCATAACCGGGAAAAAAAGTTTTGTTTTTTTGGCTTGTCTTGATCCAGTAAATATATAAATATAAGATTTGAACAAGTGGAGGATGAGGAAGGGGAGAAGCAAATGAAAGGAAACTGTGAGGAAAGGGGGGCATTGACAGAAACTCACTTTAAATGCTGACAAGATATAGATGACGTTTACTCATGATGAAAGCAAATATAAGATTTGTATGGCCTTCCCTTGCTTCTAGATCAGCATCTTCCTTTATTATTTCTGCCCTCAAATGTTTGACTGCTTAAAATTATAAACAGATCATAATTACCTTAAATTATTTTAAAAAGGGTAAATTACAGAGTTGGTCACTTTTGTTTCATTTTTTTAAATGTATAGTCACTAGATTCAAAAAAATTAATTCATAGTCACTTTCATTTTTTAACTAAGATGTGGTAACTGAAACGTTAACTTCCGTTACTTTGATGATGTGGTATGTTATTAAAAGGGCTTGATTTTTATTTTAACTCCTGAACTTTAGATAAAATACTAATAATGAACCTTTTTATATGAATTTTATATTTTAAGAGTGATAGCGTGTGTTTGCCCTATTTCCTTAATAATTCAGTTCAAATCTTCCAGGTCATGGTGAAGATATGGATTGATGGTGATGAAGGTGAATATATAACTGGGTTAACGGCAAGCTTTGGAGCAAAATCGCCAGAGGAAAAAGACAAAGATTCATTATTAGTATTTTATCTAAAGTTCAAGAGTTAAATTAAAAATTAATCCTTTTAATAACGTACCGCATCATCAAACTAACGAAAGTTAACGTTTTAGTAACTACATCTTAATTAAAACAAAACAAAAGTGACTACGAATTAACGTTTTTGAATCGGAAGTTAACGTTTCAGTGACCACATCTTAATTAAAACAAAATAAAAATAACTACGAATTAACGTTTTTGATTTGATAGACCATCCGTTTAAAAGAATGAAACAAAAGTGACCAACTATGTAGTTCACCCTAAAAAATATATTATCTTTCTTGTCAAAAGAAATATACATAACACTCTATGACCCATGTTATTGCTTGGTCGAGTTGGTGTGGTTGAATTTTTTATATATTAAATTTATTATATTTATGATACGAATGAATAAAGATTTTTTATATATATCTTTTTCATAAAATTTAATAAATAAATAGATACTGATGGGGAAGTAAATAACTTTATCTAATTGTCTCAGTTTTGTGTTTATTTTTAAAAATAATAATTTTATTTTATTTGAATTTTTATTATATAAAAATATGTAAAAAATAAAAATATTATTATAATATTATCTTTTAAATATTACCTTCGACAGTTATTGTCTAAAATATTTATATCTTAATATTTAAATTTATGTTTGATTGTACCAATATAGATATGTTTAAGTTTAAGACTTATGTTCTGTCAGTTTAAAAATTAATAAGTTTTGGTAATAAGATTTTTAAATCATAAGCAATTTATATATTTTCTTTAAATATACTCGTTTCAACATACATTTATTAAATGATTGAAGATAAGATCATTATAATTGTTTTTTCAACTCATACTCATACAATTATTTGTCTCTGATAAAAATTAATAATTATGTCTTATATGACACTTCTTTACTAAAAATATAAATTTTTAAAATACTTTTTAAATTATAATCACATAATAATAAATAATATCCCAATAAATACGTCTAAATGTTAGTTTTATCCCAAAGAAAAAGAGGCTGAAGAGGTCAAGAGAGCTGATATCCACCGTGGATGAGGAGTGAGAACAATCGGAGGGTGCCAACTGTTTACTTGGAGGGTAAAGTACACAAATAATCCCCTAATTATAGGATACTACTTTGTTGAGTTCCTCGACTATTAAAAATTATAAAATTGTCACTCAAATATTTATTATATTCTAAATTCATCATTTTTTGTTAAAAAAAATTAACGGTAGTCTGAGCTGGCTGTTAACCTATTGATTGAGATATGATAAAATTTGATCTCATAATCTCAAACAACTATTAATCTCAGTCAGCATGTTAACGTCTAGCTTAGATGACCATTAAGTTTTTAACGAAAAAGATGAATTTGATACATAATGAATAGTTGTGTGACTATTTTGTAACTTTTAATAGTTGAGAGACTCAACAAAGTAACTATCTATAGTTGAGTGACTATTTTGTAATTTTTAATAATTAAGGACGAGCATTTTGTGTACTTTACCCTTATATATTGTGAGAAACGAATCATGAAAATTACGCATTAAAAATTAATTAAGGATAAAAATATTTGACTTATTTTTGAGAGCCAAAACAGAAAGTAGGAGATTTCCGTCATCATTTTTTTCTAATAAAGGGGCGTTTGGATGGGAAATATGAGATTCTCATGAAAATAGAATATATATTCTCCGTTTGGTTAGTCCGGGAATCTCATATTCGGTAATATAAGATTACTAATAGTGTATTTTTGAGGTAAATTACCGGGAATGTCATTACTTTCATTTCCTTAGATATTGTTGGATTACCGGCGTTTTGGACTAAAATGCCTTTAATTTTTTTTTCCAAAAATATCATTATTCTGTCATTGAATAATAAAAATTTTACGAATGTTAAATTACAAATTTATCCTTAAACTATTTTAAATTTACAAAAAAAATCTATAATTAAAATTTTATATAAAGTTCAAGGGTTAAAATAAAATTTTACCATTTCATTAAAGCTTTTTATATTTTTAATTTTGTAAAAAAAATTATATAAATTTTATAAATTTAAATTTTTTAAATAAAATATATAAATATTTTCCAACTTGTTAAAAACAAATATATAATAAGAATAATTTGATCAAATATACATTCTAATAATCTTTTATTATTTTAACCAAACACGGTAATCTTACATTCCTGCTAAGTCAACCAAACACAATGTAATATTCCCAGTAATCTTATTATCTGATAATCTTACATTCTCACTGATAATTTTACATTTCGTGAACCAAACTTAGGGTTAGTGTATTGAAATCTGATCAACGAAATGGCAGGTGAAGAGGCTATATTCAAGTTCCTCAAGCCTAGGCGCCGCCCACACCCTGCGGACATCCAGGCTGCCGCCATGTGGGGCGTCGCTGCCAACCGCTCTTTGGGTGGTCCAGGCTTATCTCTTTCTCTCTTTCTTTTGAACAATCATTTCCGTATTCCTGTTAGATCCATATGAGAACCACTTTGATTGGTTATGTATGGATTTCCTCAAAACAAAAAAGGATCCGTCTTTCTAATCAGCCGCATTTTATAGTCTACGCCTCGGAACAAATCTTTCTTGCTTAATCACACATTCCACGCATTTTTTATGGCTATGCCGTAATTAAAAAAAAGGAAAACTGGACTTTCCAATGGAACATATCATAGGAACTCAAGGATTTGCATGATAACTTCTAAATCAATAATGAGAAAATCACATTTTTTTTATGGTGAGGGTTTGAATTTGGATATAGTTTTGATTAGGGTGAAGCACTCATCGAGTATGAATTCTCCTTTATGTTGTTCTGATTCAGAATGATTTAATATCATCATGTACATCCTGCTCATTATCGTTTTTAAATGACCATGGACTGCTTTCGTTTATCGGTTAAATGGATTCTTATTGTTAGTTTTATTTGTTGACAAGGTTTTGATTGAATACTAGTAATTGATTCTCCATGATTGATTAGTCCTATTGTCAACTGCCTCTTTATTTTTGCACTGCTATATGTTTAGTGGAGTCTTTCACTTCTAAGAACTGTGACAAGGGGCTAGGGTAGAGAGTGTGCCCGACAGTAAATCTTTCGTTGGAGATTATTACAGTTGTTTATGAGTTTTCGAATGTTTGAAAATTTCATTTTCCTTTGCCTGCCAGCCATTTGATTGGTTGAAGAGGACCTATAAGAGAATGATGGGCCGAGTGAAATTCGAATAATAATAATCAGTTCAACTTTAACACCTTTTCAGTTCTGTTCTCTTCAGCTTGAGCTTCTTTATACGCACAATTTCTGAGTTCATGAATTCATAATTTTTTGTTGTTGAGTTATGGTTGGGATGTAAATCGAAAGGGTATGGTCTGCCAGAAATTGTGCACATGACACATAAGATGGTAACTGCTACTGTGGCAAAATTTGCTGTCTCTAAACCTTAATCTCATTAAAAGGATCCACTTTATCGAGAAGTTGATAGAGTACTTGTACATTTTGCATACTGAACTCTGAGTGCAATGATCCGTAACCACGATATCACGTGTCACAGTCGAAAACATGATATTTGAAACTCAATCGTTGAAGCTAATTCGAATAATGGATATTCAAGTCCATTACTTGAAAGAGTTAATATCTACTATCATTCATTCAAATCTCTACGAGTTTGTAATAGTGTAGTGTTCAAATTTTGTAAAAGAACAAATGGTATTCATAAATATCCAAATCTGTACCATTGTAACCCTAAAAATTATTAGCTGAACAAGGAGAAGCAATGAGAGGAGGAAGGAAAAACCTAAAGCGAGCAGCAACAGCCCAAAATTGAGCATTCAACGTGGTCAACCCATTATGCAAGTGCTATTTCTAAGGGGATCCAATCTCATTTGGCAGTAAATTATCTGTTTAAATCTCTGGGTTTTCAACCAGTCTATGATGCATTCATGCAATGTTAAACACTGGTATTACACTGGTGTTCTGTATTACTACAAAAGAATCAGATCAATGCTATTCAATTTCAGCCCGCTGCCAGAAGCTAAGGTTTTACATGAATGTTCCATCATAATCAGAGGAAGACATGTGCACTCTCAAATATGAGTTTACAAGATGCTGATATCAATATATTCTTGATGCAGGTAATCGCATCTCTGCAGGTCTCAACTTCGCATGGTGGAGGTTCTGTTCCCAACCGGTTCATAAGGAACGATATGATTTCCATTTTGAAGTGAAAATGTAAGTACCTTGGAACAACCGCCACATCTTAGCTGATGGAACCTCCTTTTGGAAAGTAGAAAATCACCCGGCAGCTCCAGTGGTCTGAAGCAATGATGACAAGTTACAAATGGTGCTCCACCGGCAGTTGGCTGGCCATGTCGCCTAACTGAGTAATGTTTGTCTCTCGAATACCCCTTCAACTCGTGATCTCTATACCTCTGAGCACCAGATATAATTTCATGGCTCCAATTAGAAAAATGGGACTTTAAATATCTATGGGGACTAGAGGGGCAATAGCTGTAGCAATTATGACAACGATGGCCTGAGTGGGCTCTACAATATCCTTGGCTTTGTCGAAACATCGGTGGAGGCAATTGTTCTGAACACGGCCACCTTTGAGGATGGAAGCATGTACAGGAGTTGTCAATCTCATGCCTTGGATAAATTTTTTCTTCCTGGGGATAGTAATATGTAGGACAATGCTTTTGCCTCCAAGGTACATCAATGGAAGCCCTTCCTGTGGTCTTTCTTCCATTCAGATTGCATGTTTTGCTAATCTGATCCTGCAGTTCACGAACCATTCTTAAAAGTTTCATGTTCTCTTGTTCACTGTACTCAGGGAACTCATCATGCAATCCACGTGAAGGGCCGGCATTTTCGTATCCACGCAAGGATGCCCTTTGAAAGAAAGGATGTCGAGATGGATATTCATCTCTCACTAGTTTCATCCAGCTTCTGGGTGGACGCTGATGCAATACTGGCTCTAGTGCTTCATCTCGATGCCACTTGCTGTATTTTGCTGTGCCGTAAAGTTTCTTATTGGATAATTCTGATGAGAAATTTCTTGCATTACCATTCATCAAGCCTTTGGCAGGCAACTTTTCTTTTCTTTTCCTTTCTTCGGGTTCGGGAACAAGATAGTTAGCAGCCCTATAATTATTCTTGAATGAATGTATTTTCTGGTCAAGGAATTGATCATCCATTCCATCATAAGAAGAGATACTGCCATCATTAGCATGAGAGGTTCGTGTGGTAGTCGATTTAGACGAATATCCAAGATCAGGATCACTGAGCTCTGAGCCAGGGCTAACAAAATCCGAAGTTTTGAAGGACTCTGTAGGGCTTACGTGGTCGAACACACGATGATTACTTCTCTGAGGTTGCTCCATCAGTCCATTCGGAGAAGAGAAGAGGTTATCTGATGAAATGACTTCCCCTGCTGCTGCACTAGCAGTAACAGTTAAATTACTCTCTCTTGCAGCATCTGGGTCGTCAAAGCTCGAGTCTCGGATATTGGAATCGATTTTGTTGTTAGACTTTGATCCCGTGTAAACACTTTCTAACTGCAATGTTTTGTCATTTGCCTCTTCTACCATCAACTCTTCATTCTCATGATGAAGTTCAGCGGGTGAAAAGCATTCAATGGAAACTCCTTGCTGCTGAACATTGCAATCTTCTGAAGATTCCAACTGTAATTGTCCACTTCCATCTTCCCGCCCTTCATTTGATCCATTTTCATCAAGCTTTTCACATTTATTATCAATATCGCCGGATGTTTTTCGATCATTACATTGTCCTTCAATGGATGAATTCTCATCAAGATCCCCAGACTGAGAGGCACTGTCTTGACTCAAGTGAACCTTCTGTGGTGTTGAGCTTCTAGATTCTCCATTTTCAGACACATGAACCAGTTTATCTGAACCAGCTGCTCCTGTTTCTTGCAAGAGGGACATGCTTTCGACCATGGCTTTTCGGTTTTTAGCTTCAAACAGGAAAACACTGAAATAAGTAGCAGAATCAAGAAGGTAGTCTTTCATAGTCCACGAGGATACCCTACCATTGTGAAAGAGTGATATATGTCTTAGCTCAAATTATTTTGCAAGGTATAGGAAAAGTTGAACCCGAAAGATCAATATAGTTTATAGAATAGCTTCCTTATAAAGTAGCACTGGGTTTAAGGTTCGAATTCTAACATGTGCAAGTTTCTTATTACGAAAGATGCTTACCTACGAGAATTGAGTCACACCCTCCACACTGGTATACTGGAACATCTTCGACTTCGGGAAGAAGCAATCGGCATTTTGGACATCGAACCAATCGAACTCTAGGAGTTGTTCCACCTCCCATATTCAACCAAATCTGTAGATGTAGGCCAACCTGCTGTGATCGAACTTCTACTGCTAAATCCAGTCTGCAAAAGGATGGTTGGAAAAAAATGAAAATTCTGGATAACATGAATATCAACCAAATTGGATTCTACTGATGATATATGATGAACAGATTCAAAAAGAGCATTGTCTTGGCTTACTAAGCCAAGCAAATTAAGGACAACTAGGGAACCAATTTACTGATCATACATACAAATATCGAAGGACACATGGAAAGAAATTCATTAATTGGCCTTACAGATTAACCAAAAGAAGAAAGAAAAGACTGCTGAGTTTTAGAATTTGAGGGTTCAAGTAGAGTTATGCCTCTAACATTCAGGTTCTAGTAAAAGAAAAAGTAAAGAACACCCCAATTGTAACGTGAACAGTCAGATGGTGAAGCTGAGTTTTAAAAGCAAAAGCAGCTGCGACGGAATAAAAAAACATAATGTTGGATTAGATGAAAAGAGTAAGCCAAAATAGGAAGAGAAGAATAAGTATTGAAATAATGGGAAAAAAAAAGAAGGAAATGAAGAAAGCGTGTTTTCAAGGAAGAAGAGATGCAAATGGAAACAGAGTGGATCTTTACATGGAGAAAACTCTCATAATTTCGTGGTGTTTAAGGCTGCCCAAGAAAACCACTTCTTCCTATAGTTTCAACTCTGAATAAGGGGGAGAGAGACATTGAAAGATACCTAAAAACCGGTAAAAAATTATCTAAAATATTATTATTTTTACCTAAAACATCAAATTTTTTAATATTTCCGGTAAAAGTGTCCAATAATAATAAATCAGGTAGAAAAATAATAAAACTGGTAGCGTTTTACCAATACCGGTAATACGCCTAATAATAACAAAACTGATAAAAATAATAATTATTTCGGTCAATTTTTATCAATTTTATTATTTAAATAATAATAAAATCAATAACGTCTTTTTTTAACCGTTTATTAAGCATGCCGCACGTAACCCATCTCCATATACCCACAACTGGGGTGGGGCTGATGAGTTGAAGGCAGAGTGGTTTGTTTCTTACGTTTTGGAACAACTAGGGACGTGATATTTCAGGTTAGAATTTTAAATTTAAAAATTTATATCATAAATTTAAAAGCATAGAGTTATAAATTTGAGTTACGAAATTAGATCATCGATCATGAGTCAGATAAAAGTTTTTTAAAAATATATAATTATACTCTACTACTTTTTTTCGATTCATTTTTATTTTCGGAATTAGATATGATTACAGAGATTTTGATTATGTTTAGATTCAGGTATTAATTAAAATTTATTATAGAGAACCAACTCTTCTAATACTATTTTTTTTGTTCATAAAAGTTAAATTCAAGGTACAAAACTCCTGCCCACAATGTCGTTTCATTGTATACTTCTCCTTTTAAGCGTCTGAACTAATGTAGCCGCTTTTGAATTTTGCTGCCGGCGTTGTGCTTTATCGTTCACTAAATAAACTAATTGCCGTTTTACCAACTCAACTTAAACTCCTATCCCTCCTTGTTCTTTTATTTTTGAACACTGGTATTAGGATAATATAAATTAATTAGATTAATAATAATATAATAGTTTAATGGTATTTAAGGTCTTTAAAATTTTTTTCTAAAAAATTAATATGACTCGAGAACTTTTTTACAATGTAACTTCTAAATTGAGAAACAAAATTAATTTGGTTATTTGACCAATGGAATTGAATGTTGATTGTTACAATTTTAATCTGGCAGTTTATAACATTGACATAATGGTCAATGGTGGATGATAACGTGGTAGAGAGACTAAATTGATTTCTTTTGTCTAGTTCAAGGGGTCAAATTGATTTTTTTTAAGTTTGAGGACCAAATTGATTTTTTAAGTCTGTGAGTTTATTTTTTAAAATTAAAAATTATTTTAAATTTAAAATATAAAAATATATAAACATTTTAATTTATAAATTATGAAAAAAAAATTAATATATATATATATATCACATATACATGTAACATATATATACACAGAGATAAATTAATATATTTATATAGTTAAATTAACAAAGTCATTGTGCTTTTAATTTCATATATATATATCAACCATCACTAAATATATCATACATTTTTCATGACACATTTACATGTATAAATATAAGTATATTATCAAACAAATATTCACGTCAATATATATATTTAATTATATCTCAGATAATTTTTAAATATCTTTTTATATATTAACTTATTATTATATGTATAAAATTTTACAAATAGCTCTTAGTAGTAGGGGTGTTCAAATAACCGAACTAATTCGGTAAACAGACCGAACCGAATTAGTTCGGTCGGTTAACGGTTAAGAAAATTTTTAGAATTCGGTTAACGGTTAATTCGGTTCGAAATCGATTAATTAACCGAATTAACTGAAATTAAATTTTAAATATTAAATATATTATATATAACATATGGGCTCAACCCAAATCATTTAAAACTCAATTAATAATTTAAGATCCAATAACTTTTAAACCTAAATCTATATTAATTAATTAAAAAAATTATATAAAATTTTAATTTTATAATTATATATTATTTAAATTAATTGTAAACTGTTTTTTTAATTAAAAATATTATATATATTATATATAACATATGAGCTCAACCCAAACTATTTAAAACTCAATTAATAATTTAAGATCCAATAACTTTTAAACCTAAATCAATATTAATTAATTAAAAAATTTATCTGAAATTTTATTTTATAATTATATATTATTTAAATTAATTATAAACTTTTTTTTTGAATTAAAAACATTTAATTTTTATATAAATTAGAAAATTTGTAAAATTTTCGATTAATTCGAAAATTAACCGAAATTGATTCGGTTCGGTTAATATTTTCGAAAAAAGTTCGGTTTGATTAACGGTTAAATAAAAAAAATCGATTAATTCGATTCGATTTGATTCGATTTTAACAGAATGAACATCCCTACTTAGTAGCCATTTTAGATTTTATCCAATGTCTAAAGGGTTCATTAAAGTACATAATAGAAAGTCAAATAATATAGATAGAAGATTGGAAGTGGGAAACAGGGAAATGGAGAAGTTTTGACTTTTTGAGTGAGTGATTACCATCTATAATTCAAATTAATTTGACTTTATCTAACTTATTATTAAATAATTTTTTTTTTAATTTTAGTTATAAAATATTAAAATATTATTAATAGATATCGGGTGATAATAAAATATATTAAATTTTTAAAGAGAAATTAAAATAAAATTATTATTGAAAAAATAACTGTAAACTTTAATCTTTTATCATAAAGGTGTAACAATATCAGTATTTCAGTATAATTTATTTTAATAATTTTTATTAGTGAATTAAGATAATTTATAGAGATCCCATATTCACATACTCATTGCATAGCCGTTATGTATTATTTTTGAATTTAGTGATCTTTATATGCGAGCTTGAGTAATTACTAAGTAGTATCTGTTTAAAAGTTTCTTAAGTAATTGATAATTTATATCTTATAGACGCAACTGTTCGATTTTAGGACTTTAAGAAAAATAATATTTTCTTTTATTATTGAGGTTTTCTAATGAGTTCATGATTTAATATTCTTTTTTTAGATGCATACATCTAAATTTTAAAAATTTATTATCAATATACTTGGATTAATATTGTACAGTTTTTTTTATTAAAAATATCAAATTTCAAATATTCATATTTTAAATTTTAATTATATTTAAATATCATATATTTATAAGACGTATTAATTAGTCAAATAATTAAGAATACTCGTATTATTCTACCATAAATATGTTTACATTTTGATATTTATTTAATATTATAATATTCCTCCGCTTAATAAAAACAATTGTATATTTATATGCATTAATTTATATAATTGTGAAATATTTGGGTTTATATGTGAATTATTAGTGTTTTGGGTGTGAACAGCGTCTGTGGTTCAACAGCGGGATCAACTGAACCACTGGTCTGTTTTAACTTTGCCTCCAATGACCGGCAAATGAGTTTAGTCACGGCTGGTCACCAAACTAATCTCCACCACAAACAGAATATAAACATAAATGGTAAAGAATCATCTAAACGTTAAATGAAAACCGCTAAACACAGTTCTTTACCTCATCCTTATCAATCTCCTTTTCATATGAGGAGCAATCTTTTTTATTTTTTTTATTTTTAAATTATTCGAATTAATTTGAATTTTTAAAAAACAAACATTGAAATTACATAATTTTTTCTATCTTTAATTTTAACTATTAATTTTATTATTTTGTGATTTGGTCTTTGATTTTTCTATTTCTTCAATTGAGATGACCATCCAGCTCAGTTGATAGAGCACAAGGTTCTTGACCTTGAGGTCGTGGGATCGAGTCTCACGGAGGGCATTTCATAATTTGGAGGTCTTCTACGGAAGCTGCTCTCATCTTGGTGTTGGGGCAGCCTACTATCTTACCTCCCCCTTACCTCATTACATATGGAAACAAGGGACATCCATTTTTCTATTTCTTCAATTATTCCTTTCTTTTATTATCAAATTTGAATCGCATGTTTCTCACCATTTTAGAAGACATGTGTAACTTCAATTTTTCTTTTTGATAATAATTTTGTTTTTTAGTTTAATCTTTAAACTTTACATGTTATTCAATTTGATCATTTCACTGCAATCCTTTTTTTTCTACCAATTCCTTGACTCCTTCATATTATTATCAATACTCTATCCTCAATTATTTTTTAAAAATTAGCATTATAAACATATTATGTAATTTTAGATGATATTTAATTTATTAAATAACATTACAAATCTTATGCATATCATATAAGGTTAGAGAGAGTCATTTAAATTGAAATCAATCAATATCATAATATTATAAATAATTATAATTAAACTTGAACAAAAACCTGAATAAATACATTTGACACAAATAAAATCAAATTTTATAAACCCAACTCAAAAAGATTTCAAATAAAATTTAAGTGCCATTAATTTGATTAACTCAAAATTTTTATACTTAATCAAGACTAGCAACTATACTGATACTGTAATACATAAATCAATCAAACTCATGAAGCCATAACTGCATGTCGTTTGTGCTTGAGAAAAGCCTGAAATTCTTTAAAACCACTCCTGTAGTGCTCCAGAGCGAAATAAAGCTGTCTTATTGCCTCTCTTTTCTCCTCAGCCACATCTAAGATCGTGATTCTCTGCCTATCCACTTCCTTCTCAAGGTCCTTTATCTTCAATTTTACTTCATCTTCTAGATTCTTAGCATGTTTTGTTCCTGATATTAGCTGCATATGCTCCCTGCTTAATTGCTGTAGATGCTCCTCCATTTGCTGAATATGCAACTCTCGGGAACGAACCTCGGCTACTAGAGTGTTTACCTCTACAGTAACTCCATCTTTCTCGGCCATAAACATATCATTTTTCAATTTCAATTTGTCAAAGTCCTTGTTCAGAGCTTCTAAGTGTGCACCTTTCTCATCAAGTTCTGTCCTCAGCTGACTGATCTGACCTTGCAACATAGTCTCTTGAACATCATACAAATCTTTCATTTCCATCTTCTCTGTTTCACATTGCTTTATTTTTTCCTTCAATGTTCTCTCGTTTAGTTCCCATTCCTTGAGTCTAGCCTCTAAGAGGCTCTCTTTTTCTAACAGACCGAAAATTTCAGACTGAAACCTTGCTTTTTGCATAGAGAAGTCATCCTGGGCATCGCATAATGCACCTTTTAATTCCTCAACTTCATGACCACGGTCAGATAGATCATTTTTGTACCTCAAAATATGCTCCTGTAAATTCAGATAGATCAAGGCATTAGAGGAAGAGATTGCAACGTTGAAGCATGAGGTTTAAGAAGAGATAGCAACATTGAAAGCTCAACTGGACATAGAGAGGAGGCAGCTTGTGAATTTACAGGAGCATATTTTGAGGTACAAAAATGATCTATCTAGTAATTAGATAGAAAATGTTCCTCTACTTTCTATTCACCTTCCTTCGGACCAAACAGACTAGTAAGCAGGGTGGATACCCGTACACACAGTTGAACAACAAAACCATAAATTTATTTAACCGAAAATCAAGAGAATGATCCAAATTAATTTATTCCACACCAATAACAAAACACCGACTCAATAATCGGATCCCAATCGAAAACACTGTTCATTGTTGCACCCAACCTCAAAAGGTTGGGTCTAAAATGTAAAAGCTCAGAGATATTCTGATAAATGGAGGCTTTCTCTCAATGTTTCTCCTCCTCTTTCACCGTCGATTATGAGATTCGAGGCGTAGTTCTAAAATTAAAGGGAAAACTGTAGAGGCAAGGCGTGCGGTGCTTGCTCAGGCCTTGGACTTGGTTAGTTAACCAAACAAATCACGGGTTTGGCCCAAATATCTGCTTAAGGCCGATTAGATATTATTTTTGAAAAAATGATTTTAAAAGTGTCGTAAAAAATAATTTTAAAAATATTTTTAAAAGGTATAATTTAACTGTTTAAATATAGAAATTTAGAAATAATAAAATATTATTATCTCACTTCAAAAGTCACAATTAGGGATGGACATAAAACTCGAATTTGACGAGCTTCGATCTGATTTGATTGGGTCATATTCTTTTAAAAATTAGATTTGGGTCAAGACAAGTCGAGTTTTTTTAGAGGTTGTGTTCGGGTTTAGGGTGTAAAATATCCGACCGACTTGAGAAAAACATATAATTTTACCTTTATATTTAGATATAATTGCAATAATGTCCCTCTATATATTATTATTTTTTTAATTAAATCTCTTTTTTATTGAATAAAAATAATATTTTTTAATAAAATTTTATTTCAAGTTAGGTCGGGTCGGATTCAGATTTTATCTCAAAAAATCGAGTTAAGTTCTAGTCGAATGGAGGGTTTATATTTTTCAAATCGAGTCAAGTTATCCAGACATCTATTTGAGCTTACCTAACCCATGCCCATACATAGTCACGACATCTAATTCATGATATTTATCGTTTGTCTATCATGTTCGTTGTTCGTAACATCTATCCTTATTCACTGTCCATTCTGAAGACACCAAATTTTGACCAATTAATATTGTTATATATTATTATATACAATAATGTTTACATCAGATTGGTAGCCCAGCAGTGACTAGTAACACGTGGCCCAACAATGGCCCGAAGTGAAGCACTTGAACCGGTCTGCTTGTATTTCCGTCTGAACCGGGTCCAAATTGAACCGTTGAACTAGGGTTTGGAAACCCTAGTTCCTCCTCACTTTGTCTCCTGACTGAGCGCCGCAGCCCCAACCTTCCAAATGTCCCACGACCAAATTCCTCGATCAACAGCCCCCACGAGTCTTCGCCATACACGCCTCTATCCCATGCTTCTCGGCAACAGACCACCATCGTGGATGTTTAGGACACCAAAATAGAAAATAACAAGTGTTTTAGTCCAAACAAACCTCTGAAAATTCGGAACTAGAGATAGCATTATTATGTGTATAAATACCCATGTAATCAACGATATCAGAGGAGAGGACACGACTTGTACACAAACACCACAAATCTACAGCAAATATAGAGAAACAAGCCGAATCTTTGTACAACGTTTGAAAAGAAATAAAGGTAGCGTTTTTACCTTATTTTGTTCGTTCTTGGTTACTTGCATGCGTAGTTACTTGCATTTTGTGCTTGAAAACCCCAAAGAAAAACGTTTTGGCCGATGACAGAGGGGTGGATCTTTTGAACTTTCGATCTTCGATCTACACCCGGAGGTTGGTTTTCCTAAAAAACTATTCGGAAATTCAAAGTGGGGAAGGGAAAAGCTCTTAAAAAAATGAATTTTTTTTGGATTTGCCGCCGATGAACGGCGGCCGTCGCCGTTCAACGGCGGCGGCGAGGCGGAGCAAGGGTGGCCGGATTCTGGGCTGCTCATCATGTTCATCAATTTGATGAACAAATCAGAGAAAATAAGAAAATGGGGGGGGGGGTTCGGCTGATGAGGAGAGAACAAATGAAGTTTTCTTAAAAATTTTAAGTTATATACTCGGCCCACGAAGACCCGCGTGACCCGACCCGCAACAGCCTATACCCGCGTGTTTTTTGAAAGGGGGTAAACTACGCCTTTTGACCCTACCGTTTCCATAACTTCTATTTTAGTCCCCAAATCCGATTCTTAAATCCGATTTCCTTTTGATTTCGACCCTGAATTAAGATTTTCTTTTAATTTAGTCCTTTTCGGGATTTTAATTCTAATTTTTATTTATATATTTTATAGTATTATTAGTTTTTTTTTTATTTTTATATGTGTTATTAGTATTTTATTATTTATTTTATTTATTTATTATATATATCTATATGCATGTATATATTGTATTTTTTTACAAGTTAATATTTATATAAATATATATATATATATATATGTTTTTATCTTCTTTCCCTCGATTTATTTTACTTTTATTTTTATGTTTATTTCTTGTTATTTAATTTTTTTTGTCGTATTTTATTTATTTACATTTGTTTCTTTATTTATGTTATTCTCTTTCGTCTTTATTTTTCATTTCAGTTTATTATCTCAATGTTGGTCATGTCGTTTGTTTTTTGTCCTTATTTTATATGTTGTTAGTTTTTTTCTTTATTTTATTTTCTTATTTTCAATTTATTTTCAATTTATTTTCATCACCTTTATTTTTCTAACGTTTTTCCTTGATTCCGTAAGAGTACGTTTTCAAAAAACAGTTAAAGGTAAGTTTTGGATCGTTATTTTAACTTTTAATTTAAATTTACAATTTTCTTAGTTAAGACAACTGGAAATTATGTAGTATCGAAAGGGCAGTTCAAGGGTGCTAACCCTTCCTTGACTGTAACCGACTCCCGAATCCGACACATCTTTGGTAAGACGCAGATCAGGTAAATTATAAGGTATCCGGTCAACCCATTTATTTTTAAATAAATGATCGGTGGCGACTCCAATCCGTTTAATCCAAGTCGAAGCCCAATTCCGGGGCCCAACCGAAAGACGGTTACGACAGCTTGGCGACTCCACTGGGGACGGTAAGTGAGTCAGGCTAAGGTAATTTCCAGTTGTCTTTTTAACGAAAATGGTAAGTTTAAATTTTAAGGTAATATTTCGATCCTTTTTACTTACTTTTGATTATATTTTCGAGTAAATAGTTGGACTAATCGTTTTCTCATGATTTCAGACTTCAAAGTTTTTTCATCTAAGGCTCTATACCCGAGCTCCAATTCCTATTTTAAGTGGGGGTGAAAGCGACGCCTTCGTGTGAATTTATTCACCGTGCGGGCCTAGCAAGTAGCCTTCTGGATTCATATACCTTATGTCTTCGTGTGAATTTATTCACCGTGCGGGCATGAGGGAATGTGTCCCCTCGAGTTTAACTTAGTCCACACAAGCCTGTGATGGGTTTAGAACTAAGGGTCTGGCAAGCCCAAGGGGGCACCGACAAGGAGAACTCGGGTACCGTTTTTTTAAAACCTAAACCGGGAGACCATGAAGAATTAGAGCCTACCCCGAAACCACGTTCCAAAACTTAGGATATTTTTACCCTAACCATGTTTTTTGTTGCACTTTTTCCTTCCGTCATTTTTTTATTTGTATTTTATTTACTAACGTTTTTGCCTTTGTGTTTGTTTTCTAGCATTTGCATCATTACAAGAGGCTATTGATCCCTAAAAAGCATTTGTTATACACAAAATAATTCGAATTAATGGACAAAGGTGTTGTAATACAAGAGATTGAAAACGCTGAGGCACGACTATGGTCCGAGAAGGCTCAGAAAGAGAAGGGAGACAACCTTCAGGGAAACTATGTGTCAGAACTGGTTAGTTATGCCGCTGTCAGCCTGAAACAGAATAATGTCCAAGAGCTGCGAAACATTTGGGACAGTTGGAAGAATGACAGAAAGCAGAAATTCAGCCAACGATATGGTGATATCGCCCTCTTGCTCCATGTCAAGACTGATGAGCCCTTACTCCGAGCATTAATTCAATTCTGGAACCCTGGATATAGTTGTTTCACCTTTAACCAGGAAGACATGGTGCCTACTATCGAAGAGTATACTACTCTACTGCACTGCGAAAGCATCAAACTAGAAAGGGCATATATTAAACATATCAAGAGTCAGCCCTTCAAGAACGGACTGGCCAAGATTGCAGGGGTTGATGAAAAGTGGGTGATTGATCGACTCCGGCACAAAGGTAGCGGGGAAGGAATCGAGTGGATCCATATAAAGCAACTAATGAAAAACCACCCTGATGAGTGGAAGACTATAGACCTTTTTGCACTGGGTCTGTACGGTTTGATCATATTTCCGAAGGCTTTGGGGTGCATTGACGCTGCCGTGGTGGAACTATTTGAGCAACTTTCTAAACGAGTTAACCCAGCACCAGCCATCTTGGCCGAGACCTTTCAATCGCTCAACCATTGCCGAAGAACTGGCGGAGGAAGATTCACCGGGTGCATTCAGCTCCTTCAAGTCTGGATTCACAGCCACTTCTGGAAGACTGACGGGGTTGTCTACCGCCGTTTCAGCACCACCTATTCACCTCTAGGTGAATTTATTACCTTAAAATGGCATGAAGGCGCCTCGAAAGAAAAATGGATGAAGGTCTTTACGCATCTTCAAGACCGAGATATTGTCTGGAGAACCCATTGGTTATTCCTCAGTGATGTTCTTTTTCGATGTGGTGACTCCGACACTGTGACCTTACTTGGACTTTGGGGAGCAGTCGGGTATGCTCCGCTATTAGCACTTAGACAGTATGGAGCATGTCAGTTTGTCCCAGCAACATGCGGGTTAGCTAGGTCAGAGTTTGAGTATCACAGCGACAGCTATAAGAA